ACCTCTTAATTTATATGCAGTTGTTGCCATACCTTTAAATCCCGCATGATACTATCATTGTTTAGTAAAATAAGTATTTATTGAGCTTAACCTGTATGATGATCATGTTACAATTTTTTACTCCTTTCTGCATTTCAAGCTTCCAAATAGTTGAGGGGTGCGGGTTCCCATATAGAACACTGTTTATTATCCCCTTAAGTACAGGTGTGCTAGTGATGAAATCTCTTAGTTTTTGTTTATCTGAAAATATCTTTACTTCTTATTCTTAAAGCATAATTTTGGTTGTTGGTAGTTATCTTCTTTCAACATTTTGAGATAATATTCTCTTGTCTCTTGGCTTCCATTGTTAATGTTAAGAAGTCAGCTTTCAGTCTCATTTGCTTTTTGACTATATTCTGCCCTTTTTTCGATAGCTGCTTTATAATTTTCTTCTCTTTATCTGTGTTTTTCTCTATTTTTGCTGTGATGTGACTGGGTGTGGCATTCTGGGTTTTGTTTTAAGTCTGATTTGTTTATAGATGATGTTGAAACCTGTGTTTTGATATTTTTCATCAGTTTTGGAAAATTCTGCCATTCTGTCAAGTTTTTTATCTGCCCTCTTCTCAGTTTTCCTTTGGGGATTTTGATTTCACCTGTGTTAGACTTGATCACTGCCGCTGTTGCATCATGTACTGTTTCCTGTACTTCTTATCTTTTTGTCTCCCCATGCTTCATTCTGCATATTTTCAACCTATTGTCTAATTTATTAATTTTCCATTCAACTATGTCTAATTTACCATTAAATTTATCAGTGAGTTCCTAATTTCAGTTATTGTGTTTTTTCAGTTTTACAATTTACTTTTTTTTTTTTAATCTTCACGTTCTCTGACAAAGTTCTCGTTGTTTTCTTATATCGGTGCACATTTTCAAAATAATTACTTTAAAGTCTGTTTCTAATAACTCCATAATCAGGATCCTTTGTGGGTCCCTATCTGTTGTCTTTTTTTTCCCTTTGTGTTTTGACCATGTTATCATTTCTTCTGATGGCCCTGGTTATTTTTGACCAAATGGATGTTGTACATAAAAAAATGACAGAAATGATTTGAGGTTGCAGATGATCCATTCCACCAGAGAGAATTAAAGCTTCTGCCAGGGAGCGAGAGGTGCTGCCAATCCCAGCTTACCTTAGTCTGTTTTCACATTTTGAGATATTTAACATCGAATTTTTATCCCAGTCTACATTCATTTCGTTCTTAGTCTCAGGATATAGCCCGCCAGGATCCCAACCCAAAGTGTTGGCGGTCTACCTGAACTTGTGTCCTCTAGCCTCGGAAGTCAGGGTGGTGCTGCTCAGTTCTTCAGCTCAGCGTCCCCCTTTTCTGAAATTAGCAGGTGTCCCTAGAGTCAAGCACTGGGAAATGCTACACCTGCCCCAGATCTTCACTGCCTTGATACATTTGTGATGCCCAAAAACATTTATTTTTTCTATTTTTCTCCAAATTTGCTAATATTTCTGAACAGGAGCGTTGTTCAGATTACCTAGCCTTACTGCCACCCCCCTGCATTACCACTCCTTTTTCACAAGGAGATATATATTATATATACTATGATGCTCTGACATGCTCCCTCAAAACACGTTCAAGTGACTTAAAAGTATTTTTGGTGATTATTTTGTTTCCAGCTCATGTTGCGACCCTGAACAATTCATATGTCTAATGTATAGGTGCTGTGTACTCTGAGAAGGGGCCACCATGTGTGCCAGGCCCATGTGGCTCTCAGACTTGGCTTCAGGGACTTGGGAATTCCACAGAGGCACCGCAGGGGCTGCATGGGAGCTAAATGGGGTCACGCTAAGTTAAAACAGGTGTGGAAAAAACCACCCTGCACTGGAAAGAATGCCCTTTAAACTTAAATTTTTTTGCCTTGTGGTTTGAACTGGGTAAGCCAGCAAATGGGCTAAGTCCGGTCTCCCACCTTCTCTCTTCAAAGAAAGACCATTTTGAAAGTTGTGTGAATGTTTTTCTCAGAGAACTATTTAACAGAAACAAAAATTATGAAACCTTATGAACAAGCAAATTTGTGTTAAAAGATTATAGTCATGATTTAAATTCAAATTCCGGGAAAGGGAAAGTGAGTGGCAGACTGGAAAGTGTTTATTTCTCGGAGCCAGCCACCTCTTAATTTTAATTAACTATTGCCATTTGGGAAAATAGACCTATTATTTAATCCCCCAACTAACCACTCCTTTTTTTCTTCAAGAGGTGTCAGAAATTCTTGTTTTCCTGGGATATTTTATACATCCTAAACATTGACAATCATCTAACAATTTTTTTAAGTATTGTAAATCAAAGAAAACTTACCGGGTTAATTAAGCACAAAGGTCACGCTTTGTGACCTCTGGCTAAAACCTAAGTTTTCAAGTGCTGTAACCAAAAGAACAGAGGCAGGCACCTGCGTGAGAGTGGGCTGAGCACCTGCAGAGTTGGATTTGAGGAGCTGCACATTCTACAGGTGTGCCTGTAGCATGATGAAATTGGTTTTAGAAGGTGTGCTGTTTATCACTTTTCAATATTCATAATCATTACCTCCTAGGAGTACAATTCCTTCCAATAGCTCATTCCCTGGGAGCAGGGTGGCACCATGTATGGGTTTCTCTTAAAAACTAAAGTGGCAGTTTCAGAACGAAGGGTCTTATTTATGCCCCCCAAGAATAATAACTTGACTTCTGCTACCTTTATATGGATACTTTAATTTTGAAAATTAAAAACTTTTATTCCTTAGGAAATGACTCCAAAGTAGATGGTTTAGTAAATTTTGAGAAGCTAAGAATGATTGCCAAGGAAATCCGTCAAGTTATTCGAATGACTTCTGCTAACATGGACCCAGCTATGATGTTCCGACAGAGGTATGGCCTCGGAGTGTGTGAAAGTGTTACAGAGCGGTATCAGGAGTTAAATCATAATTACCCTTATTGACCATCTGCCATTTGGTATGTGCTGTATAAAGTGCTTTACAGAACCTCAGGGTAATCATTTATCACAGTAACCCTTAAAGGTGGGTGGTAATGGCCTTCCTGTTACATGAGGAAACAAGCTCAGAGCAGTTAGGTAATATGCCCAGTATTACATAATTTGCTGAGAGAAGAACCCTAGTTCTGCATTGCTTTTGCATACGTAGATAGTTCTGTATTGTTACTGTTACTTACAATGTCAGCTAACTTAGTGTAAGAAAATTGCTGATCTTTACTGAAGTTATCACAGAGGACAAATGCTTTCATCTGGTTTCTAACCTAATTTCTAAAGTATTAGTGTGTATATGTCTTTTATTTTTACTGAATATTTTTATAATAAGTTCTATTTCCATCTAAGTCATACTTTAGTCTTCTAAAATAGTCTCTCTCAAGTCATAATACTGCTATTTATTTGTAAGTTCTTTAACAGAACTTAGTGCAAGTTTTAACATGTTCCATCTTTAATAAAAATGAAAATATTATTTTTATTCCATATTAACCTGGTCTTCTAAGAATGCTTTTTAAAATTCATTTTTAATGTAATAACAAAGGCTTCCTCAAATTATATGAAACTTACAGAAAGTACGCTGTGAAGCTATTCCCAGTAATTGTTATAATTTTCAGGATAAATAAACTTGAGGGCTTTAATTTTTGGTCTGATTTTCTTCTGAGCCTATGTGCATAGCTTCAGTACATAAGAACTTTAAAAATGAAATATTTACAGAGGCATACACAATTCCTGTGGCTTAAAAAAATATAGCTACTAAGGAAACAAATACTTGGTTCTTTAAAAATCGGTGATAAAATTTTTGTAACCAAACAGGATCTGTGTGTGTCAGAATTGTTTTTTTGTTTTTTTTATTTTGTTAAAATCACTGTTCAGGGGTCTTTGTTTCTGTAAGTAGTTGATCTGATAGTTGCTCTCGTTTAGAGAGCCTCAAAGTATGGAGGAAGGGGTGTGTCAGACCTCCTCTTCCCCACCCACCCCCTTCTTCCCCCAAGAAGCGCCACATGTAATGAGATATATCATTGCTTAGCCGTGTGGAGGCAGAAAACAGTAAGAACCAGGGACCAAAGCAAACCTGGAGGGGGGTTTGTTTGTTTGTTTCTTAAGTTTTTGTTCTTGTTGCATGTCCCTGTGCAGTGGCCCCACCACTCCTTGTCGTCTCATATGAACGTTCATTTACTTGTGTATGTTAGCACCCTGGTTCCTGAAGATGTGAATTTGTGACCTGCTAGCCTAGTTAATAATATTTGTATGCTAAATCCCAGCTGTGCTTCAGAAATGAGCGAAGAATGAAAAAACTGAGGGAGAAATGAATAAACTTGGCTGTTCCCTTGTTGATAAATGGCCTGGACTCAGTAGAATACGGTGTAGAAGAAAATAAAACATTTATTATATAATTAGATTGGACTGAACTTTTCCTGAATCATTTTTGTCAGCCAGTACGGAAATGTGCTATCTTTCTTTAAGAACATAATTGTCCATTTTGTGGTGCACTTTGTGTAGTGTGGACAAAGTAACCCCTTTAATTTTAACAGTAATCAGTTTGCTGACTAAAAAACAATCTTGGGCCACCCACACTAGAGCTCAGTGGGTGCAGGCCTGTGGTGCTCTGAGGCTGGCAGGGAGTGGGGTGTGGGGGGGGTGAATAATATGAATAAATAAATATGAATAAAAAACAGAATATTTAGTCCAGTTGTACTATAAGGATATATAAAAGTTTTGATACATTTTTAATTACCTTTTAAGTTGAATTTGCTGGTCAAAATTTCTTATAAAACACATTGTCAGAGAAATTTTTGCACTTAAAAGTGAAATTATAAATCATTGTTGTTTGTAACTTCATCCTGTCACTTAAATAAGTGGCTCAAAAATCCTTGCCAAAAAAATGTTTAAAAGTTGTACTCCTTAATTTAAGGTTTCCTTCCCTGAAAATGTTGAATTTACAATTTATAGTAAGTAAATGTTTTTCCTTAAGCTTTTATTAACATAAACCTCCAGATGAATTAGGCATTAAAAATATAATTTGTCTAAAAGCCTATTTTTAAAATATTGTAGGGTTTTTGGCCTTCCATACCTGTCATAATTCATTTTATCCCTCTGCAGTCCACTAAAGTCATTTTACTATTAAGCTACCATTTTTTCCTAGTGAAATTTTTCTATTCTATTCTGTCTTCATAGTTTTTCTGGCTCTCAACTGTTGTCTTTTTTCTGTGCTTTTTCTATTCAAACACATGCTTCAATGTTTGTGGCTCTTGCTTACAGGAAGAAGAGGTGGCGGAGTCTGGGGTAAGTGTAGAGGTGAATGCAACTGGAATGAAGGTTGTGCAAATCTTAACATAGACTGCATCCTTTTCATTAATGCACGCACATAAAAGAGCATGCGTTCTATTAACCCTGTCAGCCTACATTCCTGACAAACGCCTTTGCTAACAAGGTGAAAGTAGTGATAGAACCAGCTTTTTTTTTTTTTCGTCTTTACTTTTCATTATTGACATCCCATTAAGTCTGTCTTAGATTTTAATTTTACAGGGTTAGTTAAATGATGGTGGTGATAGGAAATATTTGTTGTGTGCTTGCTATGTGCCGTACACTGTTCTAAGCACTTTGTATGAATTATTTAATCTCCAGACCACTCCTATGAGATAAATACTGCTGCCCCCATGGTGTAAATGGGGGAAGATAGAGTTGTCTAAATTCTTACAGTTCACCAATCGTGGATCCAAACCTAGGTCGTTTGATTCTAGAGCTCACACCATTTTCTTTTATTCAAATGCCATGTTTTCTAAAAATATAAAAATGGATAAGAGGTTTGTTTATAGAGGTTACATTTTTCCATCAGTTTTCCAAAACGAAGCAGCCCTTATCTGAACTATATCATAAAATCGAGTTAATTAAAATAGAAGATGATTTCAATTCCTTAGATACACTAATAACCAAAAGACTTAAAGCATTAATGGGATTTTAAATTTCTGTTTTAATTAAAGATTCCCTTATCTCTTTTAAACTTGTAATAGAATCCGAAACTGCCACCTTTTGTTGTTCAAATAGGCTCGATCTCTGCTTATACATAACTATATGCCTCTTTAGAATCATAGAATGTTTAGGGTCTTATAAATCATCCATGTAATCCTTTTTTTTTTTTTTCATGAAATAACAGATGGTTTTTGTGGATGAAGGGATTGCCTAAGAAGAATTTTATTACTTTAAAACTATAGTGAATCATGAATTTAGGTGCTTTTATTACATGTAGGGATTTTTTTGTGAGCCACTTATTTTAACTTGAGTCCTGTCTTATTTGTGGTCTTGTTTTCTGTTGAAGCTTAGTGAACTTGAATTTCCTTTTTCCTTCCTTCTTTGTGTGTTTCTCATGTGTTTTCTTCTATATTATACATTTATGTCTTGGTCTCTTCTGGTCCTTCTCACTGAAAATAGAAATTGATTCCTGGCATTGCTGTTATGAAGAAAAATACTTGGTCACTATATCTTAGTGGGAATTTGGGATGTTTGAATGACTCATGTAACAAACACATTCACCGATTATCAGCATTAGGGTTGTACTGTATGATGCTAGCAGACACTAAGTATTTCCATTTTTACATCAGCATTTTCTGTTTTGAAAGTAGAAGACTTGTTGTCATTTATCACAGTGTTTTCATTTAGTAAAAATTTTATCCCTTGTATCTTAGATTTGTTGTGTGTCACTCTCTTTTTTAATATAAACTAAGATAAAATTATTAAATGTTTGTATTAAAATTTGCTTCTAAATTTTAGGACTTGATTTTGCTGCATTTCTTTGAATCTAAGATAGCAGTTATTGGACACACAATTATTTTAGGCACCACTAAACATATACTTAATGCAAGAGCTATTATGTAAACTTAGGTGTGCATTTTTATCACATCACACCCTTTTGCATTCATAAAAAGGAAAATATAAGCAAATTAATTTGTTAGTTCTTTCTAAAACTTCACATTGAGAATATGAATCTTCTAAATCACTTTTACAGTTATTAGTTTCTGGGTTTTCTTTTCCCAGACAGTTGTCTATATGTCATCAAGTGTATTGGTGATGCAACATTCCTAACATAAGCCATAAGAGAAGTAAAATCTACTGGTGCTGGACTCTGAGGCTGGCTTTGCAAATATTTACAGCTAGCCTCCTTCTAACACCTGCTTTGGCAATGCTGTTGAACTTATTCGATTCATTGCCTCCTTTATAATCATTTGGTTCCTGGAGGTTAAACGGGTAATTCGTTGGATTTTCTTCCAAACCATTCTGCAAGTTTTGAAGTTTCTGCATGTGTAAGCATGACTGACAACCACGTCATAGTTTCTGCCTGACCAACAGCAACTGAAAGTTGCCAGCAAGCCTAAGACACACTCTATTTCAAAGATCTTAAAATTCTGAAAGGAAAAAAAAATACCATAGCACGTTTACAGTTGTGTTTCACTTAATTTACAATGAAAACATTAAGATTTTAGTACCTGTTTTAAACTGGATATATGAGCACTTAAGAACAGATCATTGTATGGTTGTGGTCTACATATTTAGAATATTTTTATGTAAATATTAGGCTAATTTAGAAAACCCATAGATACCTTTATTTTGAAATGGCACCTGCCTTTAAAATAAAAATCACCTTAGAACCTTGTGTTTGCTAGCCTTGTTAGAAAGGACAAATAGCTCTGCATTTCCTGTTTTCCTAGATGTAGTCATTGTAGAAGGGTTTGCCAAAAAGAGTAGAGTTGAGCGAAGCTATAGCTTGTTTGGATCATGGTTATCTCTGCCCAGCTTGCAGTTCCATCGCATCAGACACACTGCAGAAGGGAGGTCCCAGGTCCCAGACCCCCAGGCCTAGCACCCACGTGTTGCCTAACCATTCCATATGTGAGTGGGAACATTGAGTAGCTTTTTATTAGATTTCTGATCTCTGACTACATTGAATTGAGTATAAATTCTGTGATTTTTTTTTATCAGTGTTCTCTCTTTGGCCAGAATCTGGATACTGGTAAAATTGGCCAGCATGCAGAGAGTGGGCCTCCTGGAGGCAGGGACCGGTGATGGCCATAGCGTGTGCAGTGGTACAGGCAGGCAGAGATCTGCTGAGGATGGGCTTGGCCTGACTCGGTCTCTGGCCGTTTCAGAGTGTGGGTGGGCCAGGGCCAGAGGAATGCTTTTATTTGTCACTATATCTTAGTGGGAATTTGGGGTGTTTGAGTGACCCGTATAACATATTCACCGATTATCAGCTTTGGGATCATGCTGTATGATGCTAGCAGACATGGGTTACATAGGCACAAACACAAGTCTGATGGAATTTGTTGCTCAGGGGCGAGTTGTTCTTTTGAGTTCTGCACTGTGCCAAATCTGAAAACAGACCATTGCCATGTGTGCCATATTACTTTGCATTAATGCTCTTCATCTTTTAACTCATTTACATCAGCATGCAGTAGCATTAACAGACAACATTCTTTTAATCTCCCACCTGCCATGCTTAATTATCATCTTGACAGCCCCTTATTGTGATCTCCATCTTCTTACAGGTCACTGAGTCAAGGCAGTACCAACTCAAACATGCTGGATGTTCAGGGAGGTGCTCACAAAAAAAGGGCACGGCGCAGCTCCCTGCTGAACGCCAAGAAGCTGTATGAGGATGCCCAGATGGCGAGGAAGGTGAAGCAGTACTTGTCCAGCCTGGACGTGGAGACCGATGAGGAGAAGTTCCAGATGATGTCACTGCAGCTGGAGCCTGCGTATGGGACCTGTGAGTACAGCTTTCCTTTTATGTGACACTAAGTAGCATAATAAAATAGACATTGATTTCTCTAGAGTTAGACTGAAGTCCCAGGAAAATTAACTGTCACTCACAAAGGATCCCTGACATAGCCCATGTGTCATGGTCTCCTGGTAAGCGGATACTGCATCCCATCCATCCTTCAGGATCCCCTGATACAGGAAATTGAGGGATAAGTAGTTCGCCTTTAAAAAGCATTATGAAGTCTGGTAAAAACTGCAACACTATACTGGAGCCCTTGTATTTGAGAACATTTTTACTTTCATCTCTAAGAGTGAAAAAATTTCACAGATAATATTTACCAACTAGAAAATACAGACATTTTATTAAAACAGAGATAATAGGTGTATTATGGGTGTCAGTAAATAAGGTAAAACAAGAAAAATCAGACACATTCTGATATTGCTAACATAACAAATTGGGCAAAAGTGAGCCTATTCTCAATAATGATTTTTTTTTTTTTTTAAGATTTTATTGGGGAATTGGGGAAGGGACCAGCCAAGTTGTTGTTCTTCAGTCTTCGTTGTGGAGGGTGCTGTTGCCATCTGGCTGCCTATTGGCAGCTCGTGGCCTCTAAGCTCAAGGTGCTGTGTTCAGTCTTAGTTGCGGGTGGGCATAGCCCACCATCCCATGCGCGAGTCGAACCAGCAGCCTTATTGTTAAGAGTGCACGCTCTACCCACTGAGCTATCGAGTGGCAGCTCAGCTCAAGGTGCCAAGTTTAGTCTAAGTTGCAGGTGGGCATAGCCCACCATCGAACAGGCAATCTTCTTGTTACACCAGCTGAGCCATCCTGCCACCTGTTGACAGCTCAACGACAGCTCACCTCGGGCGCATCACTGGCCCATGTGGGAATCGAACCAGCGACCCTGTTGCTCAGAGCTCATGCTCTTAAGCCAACTCGTAGCCAACTGAGCCACTTGGCCGCCCACACCCTCCCTTTTTTTTTTTGTTTTGTTTTGTTTTGTTTTGTTTTGTTAGCACGAAACAATGCATGTGTGTCTGGTTCAAGGAATTAATGAGTTTTAAAGCAGAAATCAGGGATGGTAAAATGATGTACTGTGTTTGTTGTAACAACAAATTAAAGATGATTCTTAAATTATAAATGAATGGTGTGTATGTGTATACCAATAGGAAGCATAGAACTTGATAAAATGTTGACAGAATATAGGATGGGGAAGGTTCCTATTCTCTAGTTCTGTGTTTCTAATTGATGGGGGGAAATGACAGCCGTGCTAGGTTGGCCCTGAGATTGATAAATGGTATGGTATTTGCATAGAAATCGAAAAAATATGTCAACAGAGGAGAAAAGAGAAAGTGGAAATACAACCAAATACTGATTTAAAAATTGCAGATATGACAGTGAATTTTAAAATACAGGGTAATGACAAAGTAGTCAATAATACTGTAAAAACCATGTATAGTGTCAGATGGGTATTAGATTTACCTGAGGGATCACTGCATAGATTATATAAATGCCTAACCACTATGCTGTACACCTGAAACTAATATAAAATGATAATGTCAACTATAATTTAAAAAAAAAATTTATATATATATATAAAATCACGGGATGTAAAGTACAGGATAGGGAATACAGTCAATGGTAGTGTCATAGCTATGTACAATGTCAGATGGGAAGTAGACTTGTTGGGGTTACACACCTTTGTGAGGTATGTAAATCTCTAATCACTGTGTTGTTTTGTATACCTGAAATAGATAGATAGATAGATAGATAGATAGATAGATAGATAGATAGATAGATAGATAAGGTAATAAGCCATTCAGTAAATGTTGTTATAAAAACAGTATCTTGAACCCTTCTACCAATAGGAAAGGAAATAGAGTGTGATAGAACACCTATGAATGATGGAGACATAATTTGAGTCTCATTACCATTTGAGCAAGGTTCTCTTCATCCAAGATCTGTTTTCCCAAATGTAAAACTCAAGCAAGGGTTTGCAATTTGTTTTATCCCTGTGATTCTTTCTACATCAAACCTATTAAATTAGGAGAAACAAATCAAATAATAAAAGCTAATGGAAGCTTTCTGTATGCTGGCAACAGTGCTAAGCACTTTATAAGCAGTATCATTTACTCCTCCTAGGAACCCGTCTGTGAGGTGTCCAGTACTGGGATGGTATTCCAATGAGATAATGCCCCCCAAAACTGCTTACACAAAGATGTTACAGTGAAAAAGAAATCCCACAGATACTAAAATACTAGAGAATACTTAGGCACACTGTTTCCTTATCAATTGAGGAATGGTAGATGGCCATTAAAAATAATCAATGTATATAGACTTGGAAAGTATCTGGGAAGTTTCCTTATCACACATGGGCTATGAAAAATAGTGTCAGCCATGTGAAAATGGTACACGTTGAAAGTAACGACTGAAAGGTGTATAAAATCTTTAAAATTTATTCATGTTTTGAAGTTCAAAGCCATATACATATTTAATTTATTAAAGCACTCTACTCCGTTTTAATGATCATCAAAATTATTTTTTCCCAAGTGACTCAACATAGTTTATCATCTTATTGTTAGGGAGCGCAGTTTATTATCCCTGCTTTCATCTGATAAAAGGGTTTTTGTCTTTTGTTTATCTGATTTTCTTTGTTCCCTAAACCTGATTTGGGATAGTCAAGAGCATAGCACTCTCTTTTGTGCTTTGCTCACTGTTAAAACTTTGAGACCCAGGAAGCTCCCATATGCCTACCTTGTGTCCTCCCTGCCCCTTCCCCGCGCACACACACCTGCATAACCTTTGTCTTCTCAAACCCATCCTAGACATTTCTTTTCTCATAATGCTAAGTGGTGTCCTTCACTACATATTTAATCCTGATTTAAAATGAGAAGACCTATGGGTCTTTCTTAAATTGAGTTTTGAGAAAATTTAGTGTATATTATTCAGTGTATATTATTTTAAATTCGTTTGAGAGTCTATTTGATTTCCATTGCATAACTGATTTTTAAATGTTTGAATAATGACTATCCCAAACCCAATCAATAGTTGATTGCTGAGCATTGTGAATTTGGTTCTTCCTAATAAGTCAGTATACCTGTGGGCTTTGGCACTCATCTGTGAACTCTTTCTTATATTTAAGGTAGTCTCTTGATATTTTTATTTGTACTATAGCAATAAAATGTCAGAGAAATGATTAGTACTGAGAGAAGGGGGAAATGTGTTTCATAGCTCTAACCAATAGATGATGGTATCTAGGATTCAGTTAGTTGATGGGCCACCACGTTATTGTCCCCCAGGAGTCCCTGTCTTTCGACTTTCTGAGATGTTCTCTAATTCTTACCACTCAATATTCTCTCGGTTCTCATGATAAAAGCATAGGAGCTAACTATTGTAGCTGTGCTGGGATGGGGTGAGCTTGCTAATTTTCCTTTTTCATCTTGGTGTTTTAAACATACATCATGGAGTTCTGAGGTTGGACCTGCTTTGAAACCATTCTGAATAACTGACTGAAGAATTTAAAGTGCTACCTGAGGGAAACAGCCTTTTCCCTTTGGACTACAGTATTGATTTTATGCAAAGCAGGCAACTTTTTGTTTAAGTCAGAGTTCTCAGTTTTTAATGCTGACATTCATTTTCAAATATTCTAACCATATCTCTGGTATTTCTGTGTATGGCTGCTGAAATAATTATTCATTCAACAAATCCCAGAAAGCATCTGTTTTCTGTCAGTCACTGGACACATAGGGAGATTTAGTCGTGAACAAGTTACACAGTCCTTACTCTCTTGGTAGTTAGTCTGGTGCGGGGAGAGATGTTAATTGATTAATCACACAGATAATTGTATTCTTACAAACCATTATCAGTGCTGTGAAGGAAAAGTACAGGATGCCTTGGGAACGTAACACACAGGATCTTGAGTTGTAAGGGAGGCTAACATCAGGCCAGTGCTAGATCATGCGGGACCTGTTTGTTAGGCCTTGTTTTAGGGAGTTGGACCTTCATCCTGAGTGGAGTGGCTGCTCATCTAAAGGTTGGTACAGGGCACTTGGAGAAGGAAGGTGATACCAGATTTTCATGTACGAAAAGTCACGCAGATGGCGTATCGAGAATGGCTTGAAGGCGTACTAGAAGTAACACAGTGAGGGAGTGTTTCAGTAGTATAGATTCTCATGTATACATTAGCCCTGCCAGTCCCAGGTGCTTTGAGAACTGCAGGCTTTGGCGCAGACATGGCCAAGTCCAAGTAACACGCCACGCACAACTAGTCCCAAAAATGGCATCGAGAAGCCCTGATCACAAAGATCCGAATCTCTTAAGTGGGTGGACCCCAGGTTCCTGGGGAACACGTGCTTTGCCAAGAAGCACACAGGAAGGGCCTGAAGAAGATGCAGGCCAACCCTACACGGCCATGAGTGTACAGGCCGTGGCTGCTTAAGCCCCCGTAAGCCCAGGGAGGTCAAGCCCAAGTTCCCAGAGGGCGGCAGCCACAGGCTTAGTTGATTTGCCTACATCGCCCACCCCAGGCTCAGAAAACGTGCTCTTGCACCAAGGGTCTCAGGGTCTACCAGCCAAAGGCCACGGCTGAAACCAAGGCCCCGGCTGCTGCTCAGCTCCCAAGGTTCCCAGACCCAACAAAGGCTCCAGAATAGAGGTCTGTCTGCTGATGTGAAGAGAGGAGGACTTCTGTGACCCCTGGCTGCTATCTTTGTGGAGCTGGTGTCCTCTTGTGCTGTTCTTATAGAGCTGAGGCAGGCTCTGCCCCATAAGAAAATAATAGTAATATAGATGAGAGGATGTTAACTTGACCATCAGGGTAATGGTGGAAATGGAGCTAATGATGTTAATGGATTCAAAAAGTATTTAGGAAGTAAAATCAACAACTTAATTCTACAAATATTTTAGAGATAACATTTTATAATAGTATGTGTTATTATGTGGGGTAAGTGATCACCCCAATAAGTCTAGTACCCATCTGACACCATACATAGTTATTACAATGTTACTGACTATATTCTCTATGCTGTACTTTGCATCCCCGTGATTATTTTATGACTACCATCTCCTTTTTCACCCGCCCCATCAACCCCCCTCCAATCTGGCAACTATCAAAATGTTCTCTGTATCTATTGAGTTTGTTACTGTTTTGTTTATTTTGTTTTTTTGGATTCTACATATACGTGAAATCATAGGGTATTTGTCTTTCTCTGACTTATTTCACTCAGCACAATACCCTCTAGGCCAGCAGTTCTCAACCTGTGGGTCGCGACCCCTTTGGGGGTCGAACGACCCTTTCACAGGGATCACCTAAGACCATCGGAAAACAAAAAGATACTTACATTACGATTCATAACAGTAGCAAAATTACAGTTATAGAGTAGCAACGAAAATAATTCTATGGTTGGGGGTCACCACAACATGAGGAACTGTATTAAGGGGTTGCGGCATTAGGAAGGTTGAGAACCGCTGCCCTAGGCCCATCCATGTTGTCACAAATGGCAAGATTTGATTCTTTTTTATTGCTCAGTAATATTCCATTGTATATTTGTACCACATCTTCTTTACCCATTTGTCTATAGATGAACACCTAGGTTGTTTCCATATCTTGGCTATTATAAATAATGCTGCAGTGAACATAGAGGTTCATATTTTTGAATTAGTGGTTTGGGTTTCTTCGAATAAAAACCCAGAAGTGGAATTGCTGGATCCTTCTTTGTCTCTGTTGTAGCCTTTGTTTTAAAATTCATTTTGTCTTATATAAATATTGCTATTCCAGCCTTTTTTTTTCCTGTTTCCATTTTCATAAAATATCTTTTTCCATCCCTTTACTTTCAACCTGTGTGTGTCTTTCAATCTCAAGTGGGACTTTTATAAGCAACATATGTAAGGGTCTTGTTTTCTTACCCATTCAGCCTGTGTTTAAAGCCTGCCTGTCTTTTGATTGGAGCATTTAATCTATATATATTTAAAGTAATTGTTGATGGGTATGTAGTTACTGCCATTTTATTAATCATATATTTTTTTCTTCTTAAAGAAGCCCCTTTAACATTTCTTGTAATATTGGTTTGGTGGTAATGAACTCCCTTAGCTTTTTCTTGTCTGAGATAATGCAACCATTGTCAGTGGTAATAACCTTGCCTAACAAAGTGCAGAATTACTTGTTTCTTACTCTCTTCTATTAGTGACCAAGAATTTAACGGAGAAAAGATCAGCCAAATTATCAGAAATGTCTCCAGTGCCTATGAGATCTGGCCAAACAGCTAAAGCCCATTTGCATCAGCCTCACAGAGTAAGCCAGGTGCTTCAAGTGCCAGCTGTTAATTTGCATCCCATCAGGAAGAAGGGACAAGCAAAAGACCCTGCCACACTGAGTGAGTATTTTCAGTTAACTTCACATTCGTTTAATTGAAATTGCCAAGGGAGTTAGAATGAATAATAATTACAAATGTAAATGCTTAGGAGATCAGCTACTGTAGTGGGATATAGTCATCACTCATGAATCAGAAAATGTTTCATTTTGCCTATAGTTATTTGATGGCAGCATTTATATTTTAAAAACTGACATTGGAATTCCTGTATGAACCGAAAACCAACAGCAGTATAGTTGGGTTCCAAGGGCTTACTGCAGCCAAAGGTGCATTTGATGCAGCCTGTGAGAATGGAGTTGCGTATCCTGAGGGTGATTGTGTGTTGGTTTTTCATTAATGACCAGTTCTAAAAACCTAGCTAGGAGACAAGAAGAAAGGGGAGAGTATATTAAGTACAGATTGCACTTTTTTCCCTCTGTTAGGCCATATCATGTAGACATTATCAGATTACTTTTATTTGTTATTTTAACTGTATCACTATTTTAGTTTTCAAATCGGAAGTCAGATTCAGTTTGGTTCATAGCATTATTACTTAGTCCACGCATTATACATAGGACATATTCAACAGAACTTTGTGAAATGTGAACTTAGTTTGATTTTGTTTTGAGATCCAAAGTTGAAAAGAAATGCCCACTCCTTTGCCAGATTTTCAGTCAGATGATACAGACACACAAACAGGTAGCTTCAGTGTAATGAGCTTGCTGTTATGCCAGGGGTATGTACACAACATAGAAAGCAGCAAAGCAGGGAGGCTTTTAGGGCAGGCAGAGGTGACGTAGGGAGGGCCTCAGAGAAGGCTTGGGGAGAAAACACCTAAGCGGAGTCCTACAGGTTGATGGAGAAGGAGTGATTAGGCAGAGATTTCAGAGAAGTTTCAAGAAGAGGGAAAACTTGATACTACAAGGAGCTACAGGCAATTTGCTGCCTCTGAGTCCAAAGCTGCAGGAGTGTCGAGACAGTAATAATTAAAGCTAACACTTACAGAGAACTTACTGTCAGTTCTACGTGCTTTTCATTTAGTCTTCATAAGAACCCTGTAAGATAGGAACTTGCACTCTACAGAGGAAGCATAGAGTGTCTCAGTAACTTACACATTATCAGTAAGTGATGGAGCTGGGAGTTGAACCCAGGCTAACTGGCTTTTCAACTCTGTACTAAACAGCCGCCCAGCATGAAGCGAAGTGAAGTCATAGGCATGCCAAAATTATAACATAGCATGCTAAAGGAAAGTTGTCACTGGGAGCTATCGAAGAGATTGGAGTAAAGGAAGGTCACAGTCCAGTTTATGCTGGAGAAGGACTGTAGTGGGGAGGGCAGTGAGACTGGAGGAAGAGCCCATATGGAAGGCTGATGTAACAATTAACTGGAAGTTGCTCAGAGCCTGAACTCGTTTGGTGTCTGTGAAATGAAGAGGGAATTGGATGTAAAATTGGTGAATTTTTAAATTGATAAATTTGCTGGTAGGAGTGAAAAATGGGACGCCTCTAGCTCTGGTTTCTTACTTGGATGTCATCACCCGAGATGCAGTGTTACTTATAGCAGGTAGCCTTCTTCCCTCTTGTTGTAATATGGCTGTTATCTATATGATGTATTTTATTAAAATAACAAAAATAGTGTGAGTATACGGTGATTTAAATTTTTTTCAGTATTAAAGGGCTGCAGAATCTTTGTCAGGGTTGGGCTTACTTTACTGGTTGAGAATAGTCAGTAGCTCTCTGACGTTTCTTAGAGAAGATGTATATAAAAATGTCAGGCTTGCTAAGTTTGATCTGCGCCAAACAGGACCAGCTGTTGGCAAGAGTAATGATAGAGCTTTGCAGGAATGTTTCCAGTGGACTCCATACTACTTTTCTCTGAATTCATGATTCTTTCTGTTGTCTACTTCTCTCCTGTAGTGTGAATTTAGTGCTCTTGAAAAGGGCTGGACTGGCAGCCTCTTCTGTGTGCCCACAGCACAGATGCACCGCAGGTAGTGCCAGTGCCAGCGTCCCTGCACTGCCCCTGCCACATGCCTCGCCCTGACTTGGAGGGGCCGCCTCTAGAGGGGAGGGAAGAGTTTGAACCCCACCTTCTCTGTTAAGACTTCCTACAAGCGTGTCCATTGTGGGGGGCGCGACACTCCTCAGGCTGTTAAATCGGTTTCCCTTATGCCACAAAACAGACAGACAGGAAAGAACTATTGTATCTGGTCTGTGCTGACTGGCTGAATTTGAACAGATAACCTAGAGGTGAGAATCTCTGTATGCCATCACCCAGTCATGTAGTCCCCGTTTGTCATCTACACATTTCAGTTGGCTACACTAGCCATTGTGCATCATGGCTTTGGTTATGTAGTAACTTAGGCAACTACAGACATTTTAATTGTGAAATGATGCTCATTTCTTTGGTTTTATTTTTAGGTACAAGTTTACCTCAGAAAGTTTTAGGAACAGGTGAAGAAATAAGTGGTAAGAAACATGCAGAAGACACTATTTCTGTGGCATCGTCCTTACATTCTAGTCCTCCTGCATCTCCTCAAGGTTCCCCTCGCAAAGGTAAGACAGAGCAGTCAAGCCAGTTCTTGTTTTAGCAAACAACTTTGTAACACACATTCTGCATTTCAATCTATAGTAATGATAGAAAGTGTGAAGAAAAGCCTAACTCCTAATACTTTTTGGATTGAGTTAATCCGATGCCTTCCAGGCATCCTGCATCATGTAGCTAGGACTCCTGTACTCAGGAGTGGTCCTTCTGTACAGGACAAACAGATAAGAATGAAGGCAGAAGTCGCAGTTGTTTTGTTCCATGCAGATTCTTGATGTTGTTACTCAAATTCCAATTACTTAAACATTTCTGTAGACTATTTGAAAATAAGAATTTCTACAAGAAATTGTTTTTAACCAATGACAAGATTTAAGAAAAGAAATATTTAGATTGATGCATTCCTTTCTTTAGTAATGGAGTATTACCTTTTTATTAACCAGGATTTAAAATAACCTATACCCATACGGTTTTTACATTTATACTTATATAGAACCTCTTGAGGTATAAAATCTGAAATCACTCTTGCTCGTTTACATTTACATGGTCTCGTAATTGGGACTGAAGGTTTTCTTTTCATGACCAGCCTGGGCAGTGTGCCTGTCGGTGCCGCTTTATGTTAGCTGCACATGTAGCTTTCTAAACAGTGCATGTATTTCTCCCACTGGCCCGTCCACACTCTGCGTGCCCTGTGGGAAAAGGCTCCTTAGTCCTGGTGGTGTCTTCACAGACGTAGAAGGACACCTTTAAATATCACAGTACAGGGTGGTACGTGGTCAGAGGGAAGACAGGCGTATGAATTCTGGCAGGACGGCAAGTTCCCAGAGCTGTCCTCAGCTCCTGTGTCCTGAGTCTCATCTCACTTTGGAGGGCTCTTTCTTATTTTTGCCACATATGTGGCAGCAGTGACATGTGGTGGCAGTAAGGCACAGTGATGTCAGACCTGATTTGGATCCTGACTCTGCCCCCTCCTGTAGCTGTGTTACTACAAGCAACTGACTTACAAGGTCAGGTTTCCGGTCTGTAGAATGGGGGGGAAAGAAACACCCATTTTACAGGCCTTATGAATTAAATGAAATCATGTATGATTTCATAAAGCCTGATGCATGCTAAGTATTTAGTAACTTGGAGTCTCCATTACTGACCTGACCTTCCCCGCTTCACATAGCTGAGACTGGCTAGAATTTTCACTCAGATTTTGCTAAGAAAAAGCTTAGTAAAAATCATAAACAGGACAAATGAATAGTATATACAGTAGGCGTGTTTGTAAAGCACAAGTTCCTGACCCCGTTGTATGTAGCTCATACTTTGTGAGGCACACAGATGTGCTCCATCTCTGTACTGTCTCATGGTCCTGTCCAAGGTGTTCCTTGTCACGTTCTGGGGGGCGGGCGGGGACTGGGAACAGTGCACAGATGGTCCCGATGCTCATGCCCGTGTGCTTGTGATGCTCTTCAGGAGCACCGGCACATCTGCCACTCCTTTGGGGGCTGTTCAGAGGTCCTGTTATAGACACAGAAACCAGCTGGTCCAGATTTGGTGTTTTATGCCTGAGTGTGACTTGTGGGAAGACGTATTAGGAACAGGAATTTCACTGTTGCTCTTTTTCCCAACAGAAAATCCACTCTCACCCCTGGAACAGAGAAGTCTTTTCTCTGGTCTGTCTCTTTTGTGTGCCTGTCATAGTCATATTGAGAAGGCTTAGAAATCTCAAGAAATTATTTTCTTCAAAACTATTTCCAATTGTTCTTACATATATGTTCTTTCAAAACCCCAACCGAATTTTATATTTATGTCCATAGACAGATTTTTGCCAGTAGTCTGTTTGAATAAAAATGTCATTGAACTAAGAGTACGTTATTAGGATCTGTTCCTAGTTCTTGCTAACATTTGAAATTAGTTCTTTGTTTTCTAATGATTAAGAAAATAAGCCTATTTTCATGTTTTTCACAAGGAGAACTTAAACAAGTAAAATATAGTTGGTATACAAAAGTGTATTAGTTTCAGGTGTACGATGCAGTGATTGAACATTCATTTACCTTAGGAGGTGATCACCTCCCTAAGTCTAGTACCCATTTGTCACTGTGCAAAACACAGTATTATTGACTCTGTTTCTCTTCGCCTTTTCACCCATCCCCACACCCTAAACAAGTAAGAACTTTTAAAAGGTGAGAAGTCAAGAGTCCGTAACCTTTGTCTTCCCCGGTGCTTAAAGGAGGCAACCTGTCCACCTCGGAGAAAACAAGGGCATCAGAAATTGTGCTTTACAAATACATTTGTTGTACATACTACTTATATGTCCTATCTGATTTTTGCTAAGCTTTTCCTAAGTGGAACCTGCTTGAAAACTCTACAGATAGTTACTTTTGAGAACTGCTCTTATCTTATTTTTGCTTATGATTTTACTAACTTGTCTTATTATCAGCTTGTTCTGATCAAAGTACTCTTCTGTGTTTTGTCTCACAATAACTGCTATGTTTATGCTGTATCATAGACTTTCTATGCATTCAAATATATGTTGCAGATTTTAATTTTTCAGATATTGTTAAGATATTAGAGTTTTTAAATAGTGAAATGTTATGTAACAGGCTAATTGTGATTAATTGGAAAGAATCAATTGACCATGACAGGGTTTTTGCATCTCTCCCTCCAGTTGGCAGTGTCATATCTGATCACAGCATCCTGCCGCACCTCACAGGGTCTACCTCAGCCCCTCCCCGTGAGCCCAGCACCAACATCAGTGGCCACAGCTGCCCCGGCATAGGTGGGGTTTACTTGCAAAAGAAAATCCTTCAAATTACCAGGAGCACAGCCAAAAGAACAGACAGAACCGAGAAGGCCACTGAGGAGAATAGAGACAGGACAAGTTCTGAGAACACAGCCAGAAAAAGAATGACATCCCCGTTTAGAAGATTTAGGGAAAGAACTCTTTCAAGGGAGAGACTAGACAACAGCAAAAAAGAGGACGCAGATCACCATCAAGCTACAGAAAGCTGTGAGAAAGTGAAGGGTGTTGGAAGCAGCATCAAAGATGAGAAAGGGAGTGACATCTGCAATTCAAATAGCCGAGGCAACAGTAACACTTTAAACTGCTTGTATACGCGATTCAAGTCTAAAAGGAGGAAGACACTCTGATGGAGTTCCTTACTTAACTTTAGTGTTAAATTGTTTTTATTTATTAATGTAACTGTAGCTTACATTAAGTTATTTGTCAAACAAAGCTTAGGCAGACAACTTAATAAAATACTGTTTAAAAGTATTTTATAATTAGTGTTACAGGTCCTCCGACAACAAAGTCCTGTTGTTTAAAGTGCCTTATTTTTACATCTGTTATTTTACTAATGTTAGTAAAACGTTATATTCTTGTTTTCTGTAGTTGGCTTTATTTCCTACTGGTAGCAGCTGGATCTGTGAAATAAGTGGAGGAGGCTTTTTAGGAACCAGTATTTACGTTCACATTAAAACCCCCAGTAACAATCTGATCAGAACCTTTGCATCAGAGAATTTTATCGCTATCTTATTACTGCACCTGCTTTACAAACTAAAGGAAAAACAAGTGTTTGGGCGGCAAGAAACTATATTTTGTCCACTTTTTTCATACATCTCTGATCAGAAGAGGAGATAGTCTAACATAGCAAATTCAAAATCATCTGGGAAACTTTTTTAAAAATACGGCTGTCCCCCACCACAGACCTTGTAAATTGGAATTGCCAGAAATGGGCCCAAGAATGTGTATTTTAATCAGCTTTCCAGCTGAGTGTTAGAATTGGTTGTATTTACAAAATACTGATCTAACAGACATAAGGATGAAATTATTTTTAAAACAGTAAAGCAAGTCTGTCCTCTAGGATAAAAGGACAATGGTTTTATTCTTTTGAGAACTTTTAAATTTAATTCATTTTTTATTTATTTACCACATCCATTTTCTTGGTCCTCATGAAATTGACCAATTAATTCCTGAAGGGCACTGAGAAGTAGTAGTGACCCCAAGATCAGAGAGCTTGGGTGGGAGGCAGGAGACTGGCTGGTCTCATGCCTGGCCCCACATTTTCTGGGTCTTAAACTTTCTCTCTGAAATAGTTAAACAATTGGATTGTTGGAAAAGTCATGACGCATTTTTGCAACGGAAAACAGAAAAAATATGTTAGGACTTTTCCGACAACCCAATACTTAATAAGGTTATTGTTCAAATTTCTTTCTTTAATGACTTGTGTTAGAGGTGTGTATAAATCCTATATTGGTCTTGAGATTTCTAGGGATTGAGCCAAAGGTCATGTACCTGTTGAACCGCATTCTCTCAGTGAACAAGAAGATAATTGACTGCTTCTATGAGGCCTACTCCTTGCTGGGATTTTCTTTTATTTCCAGGCAAAAGAAGTTTGGTTACTTTTTTAACAATTATCGACTCATGTACATTTATCGTGCTGCATATTTGTTTTTGGATCCTTCCACATCATTCCATCTCTACCCCTTTATTCCAAAGTGCAAAAGAAAATCTCTGTAGCTATATCTGCTATGCAGTGAATCATAGAACAATTTAAAACAGATCGATGCTGTTTTATAACACATTCTTATGTCAGTTTTCAGCTGTTTAATATTCTGCAAAGTTGGTAAAAAAAATCTAGGTATCAGATTAAATTCAGATTTTAAACCATTTATTTTAAAACACTAAAACAGTGGCTTTTAACTTGGGGCAGAACTTCTTAGGTGACATAAGCAGAATATCTGGGGTAAGTAAATGTAGTTTGAAAAAGCAAAAGTATAATTCTTTCCCTTGAGTCCAATTCCCCTCTCCAACCCCTACCTCTAGGTGATCTTTTGGACTCTCGTGTCAGACCATGAAATACGTTAATCAACAGAGAGGACGTAGGGATAAAAAGAAGTTGAGAAATTTAAGATGTCTACTTTTTAATGTTTTGTAGTATTCTTAATGCCTTCTTGTGTTATGAAATGCTCGTAGCTCTGCGAGAACCTGGGGCACATAGACCTCAGATAGACCTTTGACTAGTTTTCTCAGTAATACTGGACTCGGACTTTTCTGGTTCTTGAATTTGGAGTAATTGGTATAGGTAGGTATGTGAATGGGTGTATAAGGGAGTGTCCTCTCCCTGATCACATACCCCCACCTGTGTCCTTGTTTGTATTTTGATCACTTGTCTTCTCTCGCTCAGGTTATACACATATACCATCAGCTAAATCTGACAACTTATCCGACTCCAGCCACAGTGAGATTTCTTCACGGTCCAGCATTGTGAGCAATTGTTCTGTTGACTCCATGTCTGCAGCTCTGCAGGACGACCGGTGTTCCTCCCAGGCTGTTGCGGTCCCTGAACCCGCTGGGGTACTGGAAAAGACAGAGCACTCAGGCTCAGGAGACCACAGTCAGCCTGGCCCGGGGTAAACACCTTGCCTGTGTTCATAGCACAAAACCCAGCTGAGTGGCCACTGCAAGCAGTGCTCCCCTACTAAACCCTACACCCCGTGGGTAGTTGCAAGGGGATCCTTAAAAAGAGTGTGAAGGCCAAGTGTATATTCTCTACACTGAAAATGCAAATACGTGCTGTTTTGGAAGATGTCTGAGTGCTCACTTTTTAAGTGTTACTGAATTGATGAAACTTTCTATCGTGTCTTTTCGATGAGTAAGAACTCCAAGGGAAGTTGTTACTGATACAAGGGAGGTGGTTCTTGCGTTCCGGGTGTTAGGTTAGAGATTGTTCGGAAAGATGGTGTAATAGGAGGTAGCTCCAGTGCTGTGCACGTGTAGACAAATGGGGAGGGGAGGGCCACTCCTTGATCCTTAGTCGCTGAAAATATGATTTAGGGAGTAAGAATTACCAGCTAGCAAAATCAATTTTTAAAAAAATGCTAACTCTAAATTTCTATGTAGAGTCAAGCAAAATGGAAATCTTTGAGAAAGCATTGAGAAAGTTGGTTCTAAACTGATAAATATTGGCAAATCTGGTATACTTTTATATGAAGCTTAAGATATAGTTAAGTATTATATTTGTAAAGGTTTTCTAAACCATGATTCTCTAGACCAGGGGGCAGCAGACTTTTTCTGTGAAACTTAAATAGTAAATAGTTTAGGCTTTGCAGGCCATATGGTCTCTGTTGCAACTGCTCAGCCATGTTGTTTTGCCAAAACAGCCTTAAAGAATATATAAACAAATGGGCATGTTGTGTCCCAATAAAACTATTTATAAAAAACGGCAGGGGGCTGGATTTGGCCATGGGCTCTAGTTTGCTGACCCCTGCTTTATACTATAAATCAGGGGTTCACAAACTTCTTTTTTTGGAGGGTGGAGTTGGAGGACTGCTTAATATATTTTAGGCTTTGCAGGCTGCTTATGGTCTCTGTCTCAAATTCTTTGGAGTATTTTGTTTTGTTTAAACCCTTTAAAATGTGAAAACCATGCCTTGCTCCAGACTATACAAAATGAGACTGTTGGGTAGAATTGGCCCATGAGTCTTCGTTTGGCGACCCCTGCTATAAATGACAGAATTCATTTACTAGTAGGTAGTTGGGAAAGTTGCTGTTTACTTGGTGCTTTTGAGGTACACAGAAAAATGGGCTAACCTCAGAGGTACATTCCTGTAGTTAGGAATTCTTAATTCTGCATGAATGGGGAGAATCCAGCATTATGTTTTACCAAGAATGAAAATGTATACTTAATTTTATTCATTTCAGACGTCATCTTTCATTCTCGTTTAAAATCGATTCAAGAGAAATTCTGAGGAAACCTTGTTAAGTATTTGAGTTTTTTCAGTGTGTGTTTCTAGCTAAGTATTAACATTAAGGCCAGTAGAAGTTTAGTGGTCATTGCTTATAGGGTCATTTTTTTCAACAAGGTTGTTTTGGCACGAACACTTGTTGTGATGTATGTTCTGTAGTCTCTTGTAGTACTTGTGTGGACTGAAGGAAGTTTTCCAGTGAGCCAGTAAATTACTTTTAATTGTGTATCTTCCATTTTAGGTGGACACACTCAAAGCCATCTCTAATCAAGAGTTTAGCTGTCTCATCTTCTGTGAGCAATGAAGAGATTTCTCATGAGCATGTCATTATAGACGCAGGTGATAGTGGTCGTGGAAGTTGGACTTCCTGTTCAAGCAGCTCCCATGACAACTTCCAAAGCCTTCCAAACCCAAAAGGCTGGGACTTTTTGAACTCATACCGACACACCCATTTGGAAGGCCCCATTGCTGAAGTCGAGCCCCCTGACTGTGAGCCCTACCACTGCCCTAAAGGCTGCTCTAGAACTTGTGGTCCATGTAAAGGCAGCCTGGAGACTAATCAGATGAGACAGAGTTGGGCCTCCTCCAGCTCTCTGTCTGACTCGTACGAACCAAACTACGGGACAGTTAAGCGGAGAGTGTTGGAGAGCGCCCCAGCTGAGTCGTGTGAAGGCTCAGATGCCAAGGATGGGACTGACCCAGTTTACAAAACTGTTACTTCAAGTACAGAAAAGGGCTTGATTGGTAAGTGCTGGGGTCTGTGTTTTGTGTGGCATTTAGAGATTAAGTGGTAAAAAATGGCATCAGGACATCTCAGTCTAGAATTTTATTCTTGAAAACATCTCTTCTCCCCACCCCCTCTTTCTCCCCTCTGCAAACAATGTATTTTCAAAAAGTTCATGATTTCTCAAGGTTTAGGGACAAGTATTTAAGCCTGTTAAAATGAAATTGCTGGTATGAAGATACTTAGGGGACAGGTTTATTTTGTTTTGTTTTTGAGGTCTTTGTTTTCTTGGGGGGAAAGGTTGCATTCCCATGCAGTCATAATAAAGGAATTATCCTCCTTGTCACCTCATAAGTTGTTGGGATCACAATGTCTGTGCACACATGGTAGAAACTTTGAATCTGATGTTACTTTTAGGTAGTAAAGTGAGAAGAAATGGGACAGGGAAGGCCAAAGCATTTTTCCGTACACTCGCTTTGAGTGCATCTTGGGGGTAGGTTCCTTTCTAACCACACACAGCTGCTTAGTATATTCTTTTAGTATTGAAGCCATCAAAAACATTTTTCATTTCTTCCTTGAATTATATAAGTACTTGGATAGCATAGCCCCTGCTTTTCTATTTATGGGTAATGACTACTTTAAATCAATATTATCATAATAAACTCAACTCTGTAGCATATTCATGATGCCAGTTGAGGTTACTAAAAATGTGAAAGACAGATGTGCTAATTTTTATAGCACATCTACAGCACATTTGTTTTTTACTTTTCAAATTGCATTATAGAGTGGGTTTTTGGCTCATTCAGTTTTTCCAAGGATTTTTTATTAAAGATAACCACTATGTGGATATACAGAGGGTGCCAAAAAAACATATACACATTTTACGAAAACTATTAATTGTAATACTCAATATATACTGATAACAAAAGATGACTATAAGTCACGTTTGATGTCTGCAATTACAAGAGGTGCTCAAAGTGGTTACCATCAGCGTCCGACACTTCTGATTATGGCAAACTACTGCTTGACCAAAGTGTCCACTTGTATACATTTTTTTGGCACTCCTGGTATATAAGCATGTGTGTGCAAGGATATAAAATCTTCTTCTTGTTAATTTGGGAAAATAGATTTTTAAAAATCTTTTCTTTCTTTCATTTCTAGATAACTGGGCAAATCACTTAGATCCTTGGTTCTTTTTTTACTTTTCTAGACAACCTGTTCATCCTCTCCTCATCCCATCCTCCACAGATGGGATTGGAAATCCTTTCTGACCTTGATACTATATGCAGATTTTTCTGGTACCGTTCTAGAAATTTCAATATGGACAAGCTTGATCCTCTAAAAAGGAGAATTAATAGAATTACTTAATGGTCCTTTTTAACTTATTCTGCTTGTATATAGGTAGTGTTTGTGTTTAAAAGTCACATGATCAAGATATTCAGAGCCATTGTTCCTACAGCTCCTGTAAATTGGTCTTAATCTCATGGAACTTCCCTCTTTAACCTATTTCTGATACTTCTTGAAACTTTGCCTTAGTCCCAGGGTTTACAACCTTAGGGAAAAGAATTTTAAGTCACCATTATTTTTAATGTCCACTGAAAAGCAGAGAAACTTAACATGGATTTTCTAAAACGATGTTTTTTCCTTCATCACTTAGTCATTGAGCAGAAGTTAGAATGGAGGTCCATGAAGGAATTAGTTCCTCCATACCAGGAAAGTTACTAACTGACAACTTAGTCTAACCAGGAGTGTCACAAAACCGTGGTTCATGTCTCCGGGAGAGGTAATGGCCCTTAAGTAGAGGGCCCAAAAGTCACTTCTGTGAAAATCCATCAATAGCGGAGAGATATTCAGGGTGGACTCTTCATCCTTCTTACTTGGTTGTCTTTGGGGCTGGCGTTCCTTGAGAGTTTGTCCCACACTTGTGTGATGTGAGGGCTGAACTGCAGAAGGAAGCTTGTCGTCAGTGTCCCCTCCTTCAACTCTGTCTCATTCTGTTTAATGTTTATAAAAGTTAGTGTAATTTATATATTTTAAAGACAGGTTTAAATATTAAGTTTATTAGGATTTTTTAATGTTTAAATCTGCTGTGATTATATTCGAATATATTCATTTTGTCTGTTTTTACGTTCGATTTTGTCATTGTAATAAGTTTCAGTGTTTTTTTTTCATTTCTTATATTTTTCCATTAACATTTCCACTGCTTATTTTTCATGCCAGTGTACTGTGTCACCTCACCCAAGAAGGAGGATAGGTATAGGGAGCCACCGCCCACTCCTCCAGGATACATGGGGATTTCTTTAGCAGACGTAAAGGAAGGACCCCACCTCCACCTAAAACCTCCAGATTATAGTGTGGCGGTGCAGAGGTCAAAGCTGATGCCTCACGGCCTCGCTAGACCGCCACCAGCTTCTCTCAGTAGCAGCCCCATGGCCTGTGTTCCATCGAAGACGGTAACTCAGCCTCAGAGGCATCATTTGCAGCCGTCCCATCCCAAAGTAGCAGACCTGACTGACGCAGATAGCGAAGCAGATGGTATGTTGACAAACTACTTTAATGGCTCTTAAATGAATTGCTGAACACGTTAAATGGTCTTTACGCTGGTATTTTAGATAATCAGTAATGTTTTCTTTAAATGCCTCAGAAATCTCTGTTAAAAAAAAAATCCCTAAATGTGGTGGTGTGATTTTTAAATGGAGAGGGCAAACTGCTTGTTTCTGTGTGCCCAGTCCCTGTGCCACCCCAAATGGGGTGTTCTTATATTTGATCGATAGCAGCTCAGTCTAATAGAATAATTTTGAGAGGAGGCATGTGACATTAGTAGGGTCATGCCTTACATTAATGCATGGAAACTTGAAACTGCAAGTATCAAAATGCAAAATTATCTGAAATCATGCTGTTAATAGAGTTCCTCTTACTAGCAAAACCCTTCACTGACTTCGCAGCTGTGGCTTGCTTTATTAAAAATAAATGGAATTTTATTCTTTCATGAAATTCCAATTTATTGCGAGCTTTCAATGTGATCAGAACTCTTAAATGTCATAACAAGAAAACCTGGACCTTGATGGGATATTTGAGAGGATATCTGTTGAAACTGACTAATTTTGTACACAGATGACTAGATTGTTAGTTGATCTTCATTAATGATCTGCCACTTAATTGTGTTTTTATTTTTTTCAGAAAATGAGCAGGTTTCAGCAGTCTAGCCTGTATAGGACCATCTGACGTCACGGAGGACGGAGTGGGCAGGACCACATCGTGATTGTGCCGGCCGTCGCCAGCACCCAGCCCGCTGCTGCTGCGGTTGCTGCCCCGCGGCCGCAGGCCCGGTACTCAGCGCCGCGACAGCGCTGCCTGTGCTTCGTCTCGCTGATCCCTGCAGAGGCCTGGCCTCCTCCGCGCTGGACGTTGTGCCTGGATACCAGTCTTCACTTTGCACACCACACCTGCCTTGGGACCACAGTTACTAGGACAAACCCAGACTCAGAGTCTTCCCCATGTATATCGCTATAGATTTTCCTTTAACAAGTTATTTTTAAGATGGTAGTAGTAGTGTTTCCAAGCCATAGCTTGGGCTAACAGACAAATTCAAAATGCCTGTCAGTACCAAGGATATCCTTGTGTACTTGAGAAGTAACTTATTGGAAGTTGTGTGGTTTTGTTTGAATTTGGGAGCTCTTCTTTAGCCGGTGGTTATGTTCGAGGCCGTAAAACTGTCTCTGGTCAGACCAAACAGAAGTTGTCTCTGCAGGATGACACGCTTCGTCTCTACAGAAGCGTAACCATCTGTGGCGCCAGGGTCGCGCAGGCCTTGGCTGCAGTGGATCGGAAGCCTTTTGCGGTTGAGGTATCGGGAGGGAAAATGCTTCCATCTGCTGGTCCCTACTTGGAAAGCCAGTGAAGCTGCCACAGGGTTTCTCAGTCCTTTGGGAAAGGGAGGGGGCTGTGCCGGGCTGGGTAGCAACCCTAATTTCCAAAGAATGAAATTTTTATGTTAAATAACATGTACACCAATCCTTTCTGAAGTGAAGATTGTGCTACATCTAACTGTAACTAAAAGTATAAATCTAGTAAATAGAGAATGGGTTCTAGAGAGTACAAACCCAAAACGAAGATTTTTCTCAACTCAAATAACGAGTTCTTTTTATAAAGGAGGTGTAATTTTTGGTGGTGTAATCATGGAGATGAATTTAGCTTTACGCAGTTTCTGCTACATCCCCTCCCCCATCTCATGGCATGAAACAGATCTCAATAAACCCTGCAGCTCCCAGCTGCCTACAGTAAAGCTCATGAGCTCACCAAGGTGTATATTGGTCAAAACTTTTGTGAGGCAAAGAGGAGCTGGAATTATGGAAATGATTATCTCTTGGTTCTCAGTTTAGCCCTTGAGAGGAAGGAGATGTATTTTGTAACAGCCTGTTGGGCATGGCACTCTTAGGTATTTAATTAAAGTTTCAGTGACTGTTGAGTGGACAAGCTAGACTTTCCACATTTTTACAAATTATATATAATGTTTTCTATATCTTAAGTTTCAATTTTTAAATTTGTTTTTAGTGTAAAGGCAAGTGAGAGCTTAATATACTTTTGTGACTACCAAAAAAAAAAAAAAAAAGCCAAAGCCATTAATATGCACTGCCCAGACTGGCGTGGAGCCCGGATGGGTTTGCGTCTGAGTCATTGGCCATAGGTAAATGTATAGAGTTTAGTTGGTTCATGACGTCCTTTTCAAGAGTTTGTTCTCATTTTTCCCCAGCTGTGTCGTCCCTCTCTGTCTTCCTGCCTGTCCCCTCACTTTAAGATCATAAATGAGTTCCAAGAGGTAAATGGCAGTAGTCCCATCTTTTCCATCAAAGTGATTGTCTCTTCGTTTTAGGAAAAAGAGCATGTCTGAAAAATTCCCCTGGACAAAAAAAATGTTAATCTGGAACTTAAGTCTTAGAAATGAACCACCACCACCACCACCACCCCATATTAGAATGAGACTAATTGGCTCCATAGCTTTCTTGGTCCATTGAAATGGAAAGTAGCCCAGATCAAAAATCCTGGTTTGAAAGTCACACTGTAGTGATTTGACCTATAAACAAGGGTCCTCTGATCAGAAATTTTTCCTTCACTGACTTACACAATATCATTTTCATGTCTAAAGCAAAACAAAGTGAAAGATATTTTTGCTATAACCATCTATTTATCAAGTTTAGGTATTTATCTTACCATTTTACATCCATTACCCCAGAAAAATGTGCTGTTTGCACAGTGTCTTTATTTGGCAGGTCTTTCAAACCAGATGGGAGCCTTCACCACCTTGGTCCTTAATGGTGTCAGGAGTATCTTGCACAGAGAGTTGGAGGCTTGTGGTTTGAACTTGCCCCCTTGTGCTGCCTTTGTTTCATCCAGCTTGGACTGTGAGTATTTGGATCAGCTGATCACATTGATCAGGAGCTAAAGCCAAGTGCTTTGTAGTTTGATATGTATGTATCCCTTAAAAAATCATGGAGGTTTCATTTTTATATTTTCATTTAGGGTACATTCCTGCCTTCTTGCCACATGACTGGAATAAGAGAAGCCTTAACTTTGATGCTATTCTAAGTCCCCATTTGCTTTTGTTTTTATTTTATAAACATATAACTTTAATGAAGAGACTAGTGCCCTCATACCTCCACAGCTCTCAATCTGCAGGACTATTGAAACAGTAAATGCTCGGTGCAAACTTTTGCCAAATAAGTTGCAACAAAACTTTACATAATGAAAGATTTGCAGAAACAGTAATATATATATATATATATGTATATGTATATGTATATATAATATATATATATTACATCTGATATATACATCCATAAAAGTTTGTTGTAATTAATTGATCCTTACTTCCTACAAATGATTACTCTCGATATGATCTTTGGGGAGAAAAAGCCTTATAATGGTTTTTCATGAGGGTGATAAGTCACATTATGTGTCATCATCTATATAACCTCCTCGAGAATCTCCAGGCTGGAAACGGGCAGTAATCATGGAGATTTCCAAAATTTAATTTCTATAAAGTGTTCTCTCCCTTATAAAAATAAAGGGAGAAAGAGTTTCTTTGTATATTTAAAACAATGATTGATATTCTGATATATTTCTTAAAAATGTGATACTAAAGTAGATATAACCCTTTAGAATTACCTTACAGACTCGAACAAAGGGTGAAGTCTTCAGAAAGTGTCACAGGACGGTTTCAAATTTAAACTTGAATCCCAGTTCATCTTTAGCTTTCGTTGTGCTTTTTTAAGGCTTTTTTATTTTTGATACACAAGATGCAGCTGTACTTGATCTTTTAAAATGGAAACATGAGCTTATCATCAAAAGACAGAAACAAAACTGCACAGTCGTAATAGCAATTATACTGCACAATTCAGCGATTGTAAAGTCTCCTGTAACAAGCAGTGTTTGTCTCCTATTTTTTGATACCTCTAAAACTTATGTCTTTTAGAAAGACAGTGCCTCTGTATGCTTTTTGTATTTTTACTGAGTGTAAATATTTGTTATATTTTTGGTTAAGAGAATGTAAAAGTACCATTTATTGTTATCATATCTACTAATACATTGGTGAAATCAATAAAGAATCTACATTAACCTTCTCTGCACTTTATTGCAAATGTATGGCAGCAGATAAAATAATTATACCCTGCCACTCAAGAGGGCCAGTCTGGGACCCATGTTGATGTGAAGGCCTTACTTTCTGAGTTTCTAGAGAAAGTGGAATGGTCCAGTTATAGTTCACTATAGTGTCTATAAAACACCTAGATATTGTGTGTTTGATTACACAGTAACAGTGCCTAAAACCCCGTTGGGGCTCTTCTAAGTCTCAGACTGTCCAGGGCTGTCCAGTGACTCTGCCACACTGCCAGTGTCTCAGGGACCTGACACTCGCACCTCGGGGTATCACCTGAAGATAACACAGAGAGAAGATAGTGTGAGGACAGGATGCAGCCACCAGCAAAGGATGCTGACAGCCACCGCGACCTAGAAGAGATGGGGTCCTTCCCTAGAGCCTCCAGAGGAAGTGCTTCCTGCCCACACCTAGATTCTGAACTTCTGGCCTGTTCTGTCCAGTCACCTGATGTGTGGGAACTTGTTCCAGCAGCCCTAGGAAACGAATACACATTACTGTATTTGTCTGACGTTGAAGACTCAGAACCAGCAATTAAAGGATGTGGTGGTCTCGGGAATCCCACCTCTCACTACCCTCCAGAAACGTTTGATAAGCGAAGGTAAGAGAGAGAGAGGCCCTCCCAGAGGCCTGCTCTCCAGCAGCCTCAGCAGCCTGACATTTTTCCAGGTGTGCACAGGGGAGGCTCTGTCACCTTGCCAAGCTTGATGTTTTTCATTTTCCTCATTTCAGACATTCTGGTATCTTCAGATGTGTACTGGTATCTTCCTGTGGTTTTTATTTATTTATTTTTTTAAAGATTTTATTGGGGAAAGGGAACAGCCAAGTTGTTGTCCTTCAATCTTAGTTGTGGAGGGCGCAGGTAGCTCAGCTCCAAGTCCAGTCGCCATCCGGCTGCCCGTCAGATGAGCTCGCAGCCGCTCAGCTCAAGGTGCTGTGTTCAATCTTAATTGCAGGGGGCGCAGCCATCCCATGCGGTAGTCGAACTGGCAACCTTGTTAGGGGCTTGTGCTCTCACCAGCTGAGTCATCCTGCCACCTGTTGGCAGCTCAGCTTGGGCGCAGCTCAACTTGGGCGCAGCTCTCTGGCCCATGTGGGAATCGAACCAGCGACCCTGTTGCTCAGAGCTTGTGCTCTTAACCAACTGAACCACTCGGCCTGCCTAGTGTGGTTTTCATTTTAATTTCTATAACGACTAATAATACTAAGCATCTTTTCAAAACGTATTGGCCATTTGGATGCTCTTTTATGAAGTGTCTTTTTAGGTCTTCTGTTTTTTATTTGTTGCTGGAATATTGAAATACAGTTGTATTATAATCATCTTGTATTTAACAACCTTGCTTAATCTCAGTTTGTAGATTCTTTTGGATTTTTCTGTATACTCTCATTAGCTGTTCATAATTACTTTTATTCATTTCTAGTCATTTTGCATTTCATTTCCTGCCTTACTGCACAGATGAA